TAGAATTAAGATGTATGATGGTTCTGTTCGGACTGTGGTGTTCGGCATATCCAGATTTGAAGAAGAATTTGATTTCTATGGGCACTTTACACAAGAATGGTTTTATCCCTAAAGCTGATGAGAATATGGAAACCATTCGGATTGTTAAAGGAGCTTTGATTGTGATGAAAGGAAATATGACTGCAGTGATATTTATAGATTGTTAGGGAGTACCGTTGTAGATGGAGTTCATTCTGTTGAGTCCTGTGATGATACTACCAAACTGTGACATATGTGTCTTGCTCATCTTAGTGAATGTGGTATGGCTGAATTACATAAAAGAAATCTGTTGCATGGTGTTAAAAGCTGTAAGCTCGATTGTTGCAAGTATTGTGTTCTTGGTAAACAGACTAAAGTTCGTTTCAAGACTGGGAAGCATACAACTGAAGGGATTCTTGATTATATGCATTCTGATGTGTGGGGGCCTTCCACGATATTATCTTTGGGTGGATCTAGGTATTATGTTACTTTTACTGGCGATTTTTCACGGAAAGTTTGGGTGTATTTTTTGAAACAGAAGTCTGACATTTTTGATAAGTTCAAGTTGTGGAAAACTGAGGTAGAAAACCAAATAGGATGAAAAATCAAGTGTTTGCGGTCTGACAATGGTACGGAGTACACAGATTCACAGTTTCTAAACTTCTGTAAGGAGCATGGGATTAAGAGGCATTTTATAGTGTGCAAGACACCACAAAAAAATGGTGTTACGGAACGGATGAACAGGTCGTTGAATGAAAGAGCCAGATGCTTGCGGTTGAATGCGGGGCTTCCCAAACACTTCTGGGCTGAGGCTATTAACATGGCTTATTATCTTATCAATAGATCGCCAAGGGCATCATTGGTTGGGAAAGTTGCAGAAGAGGTATGGATTGGTCATGATGTTACTTTTGATCACTTATGGATTTTTGGTTGTCATGCTTATATGCATGTACCTGCTGATGAGAGATCCAAACTTGATGCAAAATTGAAGGAGTGTATTTTTTTGGGTTACAAGAAATGTGTCAAATGATTCAAGTTTTAGGATCCAGCTGCGAAGAAAATTGTGATCAGTAGAGATGTTTTTTATGAACATCCCATGTTGCAGCAAAGCAAAGACACGACAGTGGTGGATTTCAAGTAGTTTCCAGTTGAGAAAACAGAAACTTCTCAACCAACTTCTGGTAGTTCCGCTATGGATGATTTGCAGGATTATAGTCTCGCCAGAGACAGGGTGAGACGGGCGAATATAAAGCCTCCGAACATATTGAGTTTTGAAGACTTGGTCTCTTTTGCACTTACTGTTAGCAGTGATGATCTAGTTACTTTTCATGATGTTGTTACTAGTCAGGAAAACGAAAAGTGGATGGTTTCCATGGTTGAAGAGATGGAGTCTTTGAATCACAATCGTACATGGGAGTTAGTTCACCTTCCTGAGGGTAAGAAGTCGATTGGTTGCAAATGGGTGTATAAGAAGAAACCAGTAATAACAGAAAAAGAGGGGGAGAAGTTCAATGCTCGTTTGGTAGCAAAGGGTTTTCACAGCAGAAATGAGTTGATTATGATGAAATTTTTTTCTCATTTGGTCAGGCACACTTCAATCCGAGCAGTACTTGTATTGGTGGCTAGTTGGGATTTGCATTTAGAACAGATGGATGTTAAAACTGTTTTTTTATTGCATGGTGATTTATAGGAGCAGATCTACATGCAGCAACCTGAAGGTTTCACTCAACCTGGAAACAAGCATTTAGTTTACAGATTGAAGAAATTTTTGTACGGGTTGAAACAGTCTCCGAGACAATGGTACAAACGGTTTGACTCCTATATGATCAAGATTGGCTACAAGCGATGTGAGTATGATTGGTGTGTCTATGTTAAGAGCCTTGATGATGGTTCTTTTATTTTTATGTTACTATATGTTGATGATATGTTAATTCCTGCGAAGAACATGAATGATGTTATCGGTTTGAAAACTTTATTGAGTCAGGAATTTGATATGAAAGATTTAGGTGCTGCAAAGAAAATTCTTGGAATGGAAATTTGCACGGACAGAGACTCAAGGAAACTATGGCTATCTCAACGGGGTTATGTTGAGAAAATGCTAGAAAGGTTTGCGATGAGCAGCGCAAAACCAGTGAGCACTCCATTGGCGAATCACTTTAAACTCTCATCAGAATAGTGCCCTAAGACAGATAAAGAAGTTGAGGATATGGCAAAAGTTCTGTATCCTAATATTGTTGGTTGCTTGATGTATGCAATGGTATGTACTCATCCTAATTTAGCTCATGTTGTTAGTCAAGTTTGTAAGTACATGTCTAAACCTGGTAAGCAACATTGGGAAGCAGTCAAGTGGATCTTTAGGTACTTAAAGGGTACTATGGGACATGAAATTGTTTTTGGTAGTCAGCAGGATAATCCTTTAGTTGTAGGATATGTGGATTCAGACTATGTGGGTAACTTGAATAATAGAATATCTACGACAGGGTATGTCTTTACTCTTGGTAGAGGGCCTATTTGTTGGAAGTCTATTGTTCAATCTGTTGTGGCATTATCTACAATTGAAGCTGAATATATGCAGCGGCTGAAGGTGCAAAAGAAACTTTATGGCTTATTGGTTTAGTGAATGAGTTGGGTGTTCAGCAAGGTGGAGTTCATTTGCTTTGTGACAATCAAAGTACTATTCACTTGGCTAAGAATCAGGCATATCGTGCTAGAACTAAGCATATTGATGTAAGGTTTCACAAGATCAGAGAGTTGGTTGCATCTGGAGAGATTTTGTTTCAGAAGGTATATACTAATGAGAATGCCTCTGATATGTTCACCAAGCCAGTTACAACAGACAAGTTCATGCATTGCTTGGATTTGATGAGTGTTTCGAGTTGTTAAAGAAGTAAGGTAACCCAATCCACATTGAATGTTTCCTAAGGGGCAGGATATTCGCCAATGTGGAGATTTGCTAGGTATAACTCATAAATATACCGAGAAAGTCTCGTAGTGGGGGTTACGATTATGTGTGTTGGGGGTGCGAGGGCTGCAGCCCCGTGGTACGATACAAGATTATTTTTGTAAATATGTACTAGGGTTTATTTATTATAAAAGGAGATGTAACATAAACCTATGAGACATTAAATTGAATAAAAATTCTAGAGCCGCCTAGGGCACCGAGGACGTAAGCATATTGCTGAACCTCGTTAAAATTCTTGTGTTCTTTCCGTTTTCTTTACCCGATTTTTCAACAGGTACTCTCATACACGACTAAAAAATTATGCCAAAATGAATATCACATGAATTATTACATAAATGTAAAAAATATCTTACATAATGTAAAACATAAGAAATGTATGCATAAGACTCGGTTCTTAAAATTACTAGGATGATACTTTGCACTCATAGTGTAGTCATCTAATCTGTTCTTTTGGGTCACTTTGTAGATGAGTTTTGCTTCGAGCCTAAAGTTCTCTCTACATTATTGTTGCAACCTTAGATTGGCGACACAAATTTTGAATTTCAATAGTCCGTAGTTTATAGACAATTATGCGTTTGAGAAGGAAGAAATTTAGGTTTGCTTCTTCACATACATTCGTACACTTCCTTTTGTTAATTATCGAAGAATCTGCCAGCAGCACCGCAGTCTTTTTAACCTTGTTTAGAATGGCAAGGTTAGGCTTTAATTAACAACGTTTATCACATTTCACATCATTTCGAATTCCATTTAAGGGTGTTTTCGAAAGAATCTACTGCTTGTCATAGGATGTGAAAACAAAACACCGGCCATCTTATTGATTAATATCATTCTGGGAGATGACTAGGTTCTCATGAAGTTTAGAGATACCCCAACACTTTTACCAGATAAATTTGTATTTGATAAGTTATTGTTGTACGTTTTTTCACGAGTCTTTTCCACCTTAGGAAGTAGACATCTTTCTTGCCCTACAAGCCATGATCCCGTATATATATATATATATATATAAAGCCACAAATAAAATACAATTTCCATTATGCCAATGGAATACAAGAACATGAAAGGATTGGTTAGGTTACTTGGGTAAGGAAGTTTAATTGAAAGATGGTATCACCCATGTGATTTTAGGTGTACGCCCCTTAAGATATGCCATGATATATGCTTCTACTTATCAACCATTTTCTTTTTTTCATTCTTTTTCTTCTTAAGTAAGGCATCCGTACCTGCAGACTCATATGGTGGTTGCATGTAATGCAACTGCTGCTAGCGAAACCTGCATTAAAATATAGGTTTCTAAGGGAGTTGACTTTGATTTTATAGTTGCAGTTGCAGGGTTTCCTATCCACGTGTTGTTTGAAAAGTCGTAGTTGCGGAAATTAAGAATTTGACTCCAAGTTCAAAGCATAAGGTTTCTACAATATAAATTATTAAATGTTCTCCTGTAATTTTATATTGCCTGCTCGACAATTTGCAGCTCAACTGTACAATAACGTACCACGGATACTATAATGCGTTGAATTTACAAACAATCCCAGAAATTTAATGGAATTAATAATTAGAGCAGGCTTTGCTTTGTTTTTCTTATTGCTACTAAGCATAAGAGAAATTTGAGTTATGATCTCTTCAATAAATACTTCTGTTGTTGAAGAAATAAATAAAAGCAATGATATATTTAGCTTGCCAATCTTATATTCACCTTAAGATTGAATAACTTTTACTTCACCGTTTATGCTTATAGATTGAAGAAGGGCATAAAAATATAACTAATCAACTGCAGCACCAAGATTTATAACTACTGTCACATGGGTTTGAAAATAAAAATAGGATCCCCATATGACATCATGAATTACGGTTGTTTATGCTATCATTAAGGATCATGGCATGCCTTAATTTAGTCGTTCAATTTGCAATGGTAGCTTAATATTTAAATATTTCATCAATAATTTCTCGTAAGCTAGCAGGGGAGTCTATCATTGGTTATAAATATCCAGATGAAATGCATCTACGGCATCAAACTCATCCTTAGTTCGCATTCTCCAACACAAAAATACAAAGAAAATGCAGAGTGCCTTTCTATTTACTACTGCCATACTCATTTTGGGTTTATATTTCCCCCCAAAATTTCAGGTAGCAGATGCAGCTCATACTTGGCTCTCAGCACATGCAACATTCTATGGTGGAAGTGATGCTTCTGGTACAATGGGTAAGTTTTTGTTTTTGGTCCTTTTCCTTTGTATTTTTTTTGTTTGAATAACTTTAATAAACATGTTGGGTTTTGCAGGTGGAGCTTGTGGTTATGGCAATCTCTACACAGATGGTTATGGAACAAACACGGCCGCACTCAGCACGGTTTTGTTTAACGACGGCAAGTCATGTGGAGGCTGCTATCAGATAACTTGCGACGCAAACCAGGTGCCTCAATGGTGTCTCAAGGGTAAATACATTACCATCACAGCCACCAACTTCTGCCCTCCGAACTATGCGCTCCCGAACGACAATGGCGGCTGGTGTAATCCTCCAAGACCACATTTCGACATGGCTCAACCTGCATTCGAGACCATAGCTAAATACCGGGCTGGAATTGTACCAGTCCTCTACAGGAGGTATCCCCACTGTTTCCATTCTGCCATCAAAAACATGAATTTTAAGCACAGTTTGAGCATTGCTTATCTGAATAATTTGGTTTGTTTTTTGGCAGGGTTACATGCAGGAGAAAGGGAGGGATGAGGTTCACCATCAATGGAAGGAACTATTTCGAGCTGGTGCTGATATCAAATGTTGGGGGTGCTGGAGAGATCTCCAAGGTATGGATAATGGGTTCCAAAACAAATAAATGGGAAAGCATGTCGAGGAACTGGGGTGCCAATTGGCAGAGCTTAAGCTATCTAAACGGCCAGAGCTTGTCATTCAGGGTTCAAGCCGGTAATGGTATGATTCGAACTGCACTTAATGTGGTGCCTTCAAATTGGCAATTCGGGCAGTCTTTCAAAAGCAATGTTCAGATTTAGAACTTCCCATATTGTCTCACATATGTATTTGTTTATGTACTTTGTTTTTCGACATTTTCTCTTTTTTACTTCCAAGCTGTATTATATAGTGTCATCACTTAGGTTGTGGCTTAGCGTTTTACAGTGAAGCCCAGCAAGTGATTTGTTTGTTAGCATTGTAATGCTACTAATATTAAAAATACTTCATTTATGTTTTTGTTCTTTGGTACTGCTATTTTTACCTTTTACTTTCAGTTTTTTTACCTTTGAGAGTATTTCTTCATTGAAGAGTGAAAATAACTTGGTACGTGCTCTATTGATGATTGAGCTATTATTTGCAGATTTGGAAAACTAGGGACTTTTGGACCAGTTTTCTTTAGAAATTTTGTAATTGTATTAAGGGAAAACTATATGTTTAGTACCTAAATTATTACTTCTATTCCGTTTAGTACCCAAACTTTTTTAAAAATAATCATACCTAAAAAAACGTCACATCAACTGTTCTGTTAATTTTTTAACAGTAGGATACCAAATTGAAACGTTAGGTATCGTTTTGAAACAAATATAGTTTAGGTACCAAAACAAAATAAAAGTAATAGTTTAGATACTAAACGTGTAATTTACCCTATTATTAATGATAACCAAATTGTCAATGGAATAAAGTATTGAAGGGTTTGCTTATTAATCGCATTTGTGTTTCAACATCGTGAGGGAGCTTTTACATACCAAAGACTCGTATGAACAATTAGATGTTGGGTTGGGTGAATCATATATCAGTTGTGAATTCAAGTTGACAGGTCAAGTGTGTGAATGTTAAAAGCCATAAATGTTATTTTAGGTTTCATCGAGACCAAATTCTCTGTTAAAACTACACTTTGATTCGCCTGAGTTTTAGGAGACTGAAATTTCACTCTGTTAATATTTCAGTTGGTTGAGTGAAGAAGAGGAAAGGTGGAAGAAAAATACATGTGTCGTGATATTATTAGTTAAGATTTTGTTCGACCGAAGAGATAAAAGTAGTAGCGAAATGATAATTTAATTAATTGTTTGATGTACAAACCAAACGACATCGGTGATAAATAAATTATTGTTATTCATTGAGGTCTTAGGCTCGAGCACTAGAAATGTCAGATTTGTGAACATTCAATCTTTGAATATATATCATCTTGTATTTATCTCATATTAAAAAAATTAATTATTTTGATTAAAAAATAATTTAGATAATTAAAAATTATAGTTTAGGATTAATTTTTCATTTAAACCTTTATAAAAAAAAGTACATGCTTAAAATAACCACAATAATTTACTAATAACCCTAATATTATTAGAGAAAATCGCCTCAGTGACAAAAAAAAAGTTATAATATACGATTTTAACCAACTTTTTTTGGATTTGCCAAAATGACCAACAAAATCGCAACGCGAAATAAAAATCGCAACGCGATCCCCAGAATCGCAAATCAGTTTCCAGAATCGCAAATCAGTTTCCAAAATCGCAACGCGATTCTTGAAAATCGCGATGCGATAGTACAAATTCGCATTGCGATTTTCCATAATCGCAACGCGAATATGAAAATCGCAACGCGAACACATAAATCGCAACGCGTATCCGTAAATCGCAACGTGTATCCGTAAATCGCAACGCGTATGGGTAAATCGCAATGCGTATCCGTATATCGCAACGCGTATCCGTAAATCGCAACGATAAATACATAAAATCGCAACGCGTATCCGTAAATCGCAACGCGATATTTAAAGCGCCATTATAATCGCTACGCGTATTTTATTTTCAAATTACAAAAAGAATATTAAGACAAAATCCCGTAATCGCAACTCATAACCTAAAACCTAAAATCACAACTCAGTCCCATCTCCATCTCTCACTCTCTACGGCGAAGAAATCCGTCCCCATCTCCGAAGATTTCCGTCCCCATCTCCGGCGAAATCCCTCACAACCATTCACGGTCAGAAATCCCTCACAATATTCAGAAATGGAAAATCAACCTCCGAGGGTTAGTTTTTTTAATTATTTTTATTTTGAAATGTTTGCATTATTGTAGGTTTTTCATATTGAAACTGATGATAAGTTTACTGGTCATTTCAATAATAGATTAACCATTTCACTTAGATTTCATTTCGCGTTACGATTCTGTCGTTGCGATTTTCATTTCGCGTTGCTATTCTCTCGTTGCGATTTTCAAGTTAGTATTTGTCTTGTCTTTGTTCTGTCTTTTGGTTGAAGTAATGCAATCCATTCAAGTTTCAATTGCAGAAGAGTCGCAACGAGATAAATGAAAATCGCAACGAGAGAATGACTGTCGCAACGAGAGAATCGCAACGCGAAATGAAAATCGCAACGAGAGAATCGCAACGCGAAACCAAAATCGCATTGCGATTTTCATTTCGCGTTGCGATTCTCTCGTTGCGATTTTCATTTCGCGTTGCGATTCTCTCGTTGCGATTGTCATCTCGCGTTGCGATTCTCTCGTTGCGATTTTCATTTCAACCAAAAGACAAAACAGTGTTGCAAATTTTAGTTTCAAGAATAAACTACTACTTTTTATGTTTATTGTTTTTGGTATATCTTCACAGTGTAGTTTTTGGTATATCTAACTTGGTATGTTTATTGTTTTTGTAGAAATTTTTTTCGGCTCAATTGACCTTGAGAAATAAAGTCAGCCTGGCCACTACAATTGCAAAGAAGCTTTCACCTGCTCAAAGACAATTGTTTGAGGAAACCTGCTTCGGGCCATGGCTGAGAGTACAGCATCCGGGTGGAGATGCTAATTTGACCCATTTGTGGCTTCAGACCATGACATCAAATCTACCCGACAGTATACAACGTGGTGAGGAAGAGATATGGTTTCATTTTCCACCAGCGTATACTTGCTTTGGGCGGAAGGAGTTCTGCTTAATCACTGGTCTACGATTCGGACACGATGATGTAGGCCGGTACACTCGTCATATCGCCCGCCCATCATGGTTATCCCGGGTTTTTCCGGATGAGTCAATGGAGAAGCCGAACCTACATGTCGACGACCTGAAGAAATTATTTAATAAGAAAGCTGGTTTCACTCGGATGGAAGACGTCGATGTTGTCCGAGTATGCCTTCTACTACTTGTGTATGCCGGCTTTTAGGCAGAGAGGCCAGACAACCTATTCATCGGGAGCTAATAATATTGGTAGAGGACCTGAATGCATGGAATCTGTTTCCGTGGGGTTCGTATATATGGAAAGCTACCTGGACTAAGTTGTCGTCTGCCTTTGATGACCGCAAAAGTTTGCGGGGCGATGGGTCCAAATACACTTTGTCAGGCTTTGTTTGGGCCTTTAAGGTAAGAATTTCTATATAATGTTTCTAAAATTATAATTAATTATTTAACAATTACTAATTTTGTTATTATATTGTTTGTAGATTTGGATATTCGAGGCTTTCCCCAGCATGCGTACATATGCAATAAAAACGTCAAATGATATTCCCAGGGCTATTTCCTGGAAGAGGAAAACTCTGTTGGATTGGGAAGACTTAATACCATATGCCACAATAAATAATGTAAGTTAACACAAATACTTTCATATAATATATAAACAAGTTATTAATAGTAGACGTTTAACTTTGTTTGAGTTTTTATTTTAGGAGGCCAACATTCCATTACAAAGACTGACACCCACGGAGGAAGAGCTTGCCACTGATTGGTGGCAAGCTAGTCAGAATTTTTTGATGGCACGGATGATGAGCAGCATCCACTTCCTCCAATTCGAGAGCCATCACCTCACCTAGAGCCATCACCCGATCGACCCGACTATACATCTCTAGAACGAGAGCCATCACCTATCCCGTCACATCGAGCCTCTTCTCCACCATCACCTCATGATAGGCGACCGGCAAAGATGCCACGACTCCTATCTCCCTGTTCTCCACCTCCACCTCAACGGGATGAGTCAAGGGAGTTACGTGATGAGGTCAATGCCTTGCGTGAGGAGATCGGTACTCTACGCGATAACGATGGTGCATGGCGTGTGGAGGTGTCAACTTTACGTGGTGAGGTTGCCGCTCTACGTGAGATGATAGTATCGTTGCAGAATGAGGTTCATACTCTACGCAACGAGGTAAGTTTAAGATTTTCCATATTAACTTAATGATAAATTTACTCGTAATTTCACTTAGATTAGCCATTTCACTTAGATTGCTTAGTAAATTTATTCGGTTGCTGCCAATTCTGCTAAACTGTGTATTCTTTAACACTGTGAAATAGTATTTGTCTTTGTTTTGTCTTTTGGTTGAAAGTAAATTTGTTCGGTTGCTGCCAATTCTGCTAAACTGTATATTCTTTAACACTGTGAAATATATTTGTCTTTGTTTTGTCTTTGGTTGAAAGTAAATTTGTTCGGTTGCTGCCAATTCTGCTAAACTGTGTATTCTTTAACACTGTGAAATAGTATTTGTCTTTGTTTTGTCTTTTGGTTGAAAGTAAATTTGTTCGGTTGCTGCCAATTTGCTAAACTGTGTATTCTTTAACACTGTGAAATATATTTGTCTTTGTTTTGTCTTTTGGTTGAAAGTAAATTTGTTCGGTTGCTGCCAATTCTGCTAAACTGTGTATTCTTTAACACTGTGAAATAGTATTTGTCTTTGTTTTGTCTTTTGGTTGAAAGTAAATTTATCCATTCAAGTTTCAATTTGCAGAAGAAGAAATAGTTTACTTTCGCAACACGAAACTTAAAATCGCAACGCGAAACCAAAATCGCAACGCGAAATGAAAATCGCAACGACAGAATCGCAACGCGAAACCAAAATCGCAACGACAAGATCGCAACGCGAAACCAAAATCGCATTGCGATTTTCATTTCGCGTTGCGATTCTTTCGTTGCGATTTTGGTTTCGCGTTGCGATTCTGTCGTTGCGATTTTCATTTCGCGTTGCGATTTTGGTTTCGCGTTGCGATTTTAAGTTTCGTGTTGCGAAAGTAAACTATTTCTTCTTCTGCAAATTGAAACTTGAATGGATTGCATTACTTCAACCAATAGACAAAACAAAGACAAATACTAACTTCAGGGTATTAGTTTGAAACATATTTTTCTTTGTTATCTGATGCATTTTGTGAACTATGATAGAATAATGACTTGGGTGAATACAATGCAAGTTTGAAACATATTTGTCTTGTTTTC